GTTTGGCAACACGTAATAAAGAAGTTAACTTGGGGTGGCACCTGTGGCTCAAATGAATATGGTGCCAGAGGTGGCAGGTTCAAACCCAGCCTTGGCCAAAAATTGCAAAAAAAAAAAAAAAAAAAAAGAAGTTAACTGTATGCTTACCATTTAACCAAGTAATACCACTCCAGACATTTTACCCAAAAGATATGAAAACATAGGTCCATACAAGTACCTAAACAAGAATGTTCACCAACTTCATTCATAATAACCAAAACCCAGAATAATTCAAATATGCATTAACTGGTCCATTAATAAACTGGAACACTACTTGTCTATAAAAAGAAACAAACTGCCGATATCTGCTGCAACATGATGACCCCACAAAGCATGAAGGTAAGTGAAAGAACCAGACACATAAGGTTACATGCTCTATGCCACACATATATGGCATTCTAGAAAGAACCAAACCAGAAGGAAAAGAGATCAAGTCTGTGGTGGGGAGATATCTAATTATAAAAGGAAGTAAGAGATTTATTTGGGGAGATGAAAATGTTCAATACCTCGTTTGTGGCAGTGGATACATAACTATATATGTTTCAAAACTATACAACTGTATACCTAAGAAAGGTAAGCTTCATGGTTTGTGCATTATGCCTTAAATCTTACTTGAAAAAAAAAAGGAATGCACTCACATTAGCAAGAATATATAATGACCACATATGGGAAATATACAGAAAATTATGTTAAAACAGTACCACATACAGCCAAAGATGACATAGTCCCATTAATATATTTCCTTTTATTAAAATACCTCATAAGGCTCCATACCCGTACCCACATGCACCTGGGCTGGTGGGTTCAAACCTGGCCAAGGCCTGCTAAACAACAATGACAATAACAAAAAAATAGCTGGGCGTTGTGGCGGGTGCCTGTAGTCCCAGCTACTGGGAGGCTGAGGCAAGAGAATCGCTTAAGTCCAAGAGTTCAAGGTTGCTGTGTAGAGTGCCACTGCACTCTACAGTGGGTGACATAGTGAGACTCTGTCTCAAAAAAAAAAAAAACCTCATAAGTAAGAATGATAAAATACTAATAAATATTGAACTCTAATTAATGATAGACCTGTGGAGGTATTCAGGGCTGAAACATACCAAATTCCGCAACTTACTTTGAAAGGCACTATCAAGAAAAGGTGAATTGACAGTACAAAAGAATTGAAAGATAGATATAGGAGATAAATGAAACAGCAAAATGTTCACTGTTGAATCAAGGTGGAGGTGTTACATGGGTGTTCATGATTCTTTTACTTGTTCTGTGAAAAAAATTCATATTGTTGAAGGAGAATGCTACATAAAGAACAGCAAAGTAAAACCAAAGTAAGTAGGAAAAAAATAAAAGGAGAAATCAACAAAGTTAAAAGTTCTTTTCGTGACAAGATCAACAAACTTTAAACATAAGACTTTGCACTACTAAATGGGATCGGATAGGTTTTATTACTACAATGAGGCTGCACCTAAGACTAACAGTTCCTAAATTTTTATAATCACAGAATGACCTGAAAAGTTATGGGACATGCTAGAGAGTTCATCTGGGGAACAGGGAAAAATACGTTCCCTGAAATAGATTTAAATATGGAGGCATGGGGAAGAAATTCAAGTTGCATTCTGATCCCAATCCAGGGAGTATGGAGAACTGTTCAGCAATCAGACTAATGATCCTGTCTTCTAATCCCATCCTACCCTTCATGCTCCTGGATGACAGCTTTGTTATATCTCCTACTTCCCTAGAAGCCCTCTCAGCAGATATTTCAAGCAGTGGGTCTTAACTAGACATTGAGTATCAGAACCCTCTGGCGTGTTATAGTACATATATGTAGGCCCATCCCAGGCTTTCTGAAACAATTTCTAGAGTGGGTACTACTCATGACTATTCTGAAAGAATCACAGGTAACTATGTGATTCATCTCTGGTTAACTAATACATTAAAAACAATTTCTGTGTGGATAATAACAATAAAAATCATGATAACATTTGTTGAGAGCTTCTTTTATGCCAGGAACCCTATTAAGTGCTCCTTTTTTCCTTTTAGACAAGGTCTTGGTCTGTCCATTGGCCTAGAGTGTCATCATAACTCACTGCATCCTCAAACTCCTGGGCTCAAGTGATCCTCCTACCTCAGCCTCCCTGAGTAGCTGAGACTACAGGCATGCCACCATACCTAGCTAGTTTTTGTATTTGTTGTAGAGATAGGGTTTGGCTATATCGCTCAGGCTGGTCTCCAACTCCTGGT